AGGAAGGAAGGAAGGAAGGAAGGAAGGAAGGAAGGAAGGAAGGAAGGAAGGAAGGAAAGAAAAGGTAACACTTACTTCACTCATTTGAGGAATGGTAAGCTTTGGTAGTTTATTCTTAGAACTGGATCCGGTGGTTTTCCCTTCCAGTAGACTTCCAAAGGATTGGTTCCCATAGACCCCCTCAGTTTCTATGGGTGGTTTTAGTTCTGGGGAATCATTCGGGACTTGGTCCTGGCCATCCATGGGTCGAACGTAAGCAGTGGGCTTCTGCTGGATCATACTGCTTTTACAGTGGAGTCCAGGAGGGAAGTTCTGGTTGGAAAGATTGTTAGCGGCGGATAGCAAAGATGTAGAAGGAAGAGGAGATCCGTGGCTCAGAAAATCAAGATCCACTGGAGACTTCGAGTGGGTGGTTTCTTTGTAGGAGTGCTCGGCCGTTGTGGGTTTGGAGTGATTGTGCCTCCTTGAATGTGAAGATGAAGGTGGGGTGTTGAGTTCCTCCCCTCCTCCAGTTTTCTGGGGCTCGTTCTGGCAGGGATAGAGGTCCTCATATCTGCCTTGCGTTGGCTCATGAGAAGAGCTATGTTTGGTCCGATTGGGTTGGCTACTGGTTTGGTTCGACTGGCCGCCACTAGAGCTGTGGTTGCCACGGGACCAGTCCGTTCTGGATTTCCTGCTGCTCTGGTGGCCATTCAGCAAATTTGAATTGGAGGACAGGGAAGATGGGGGAGGCATGGCCGTTGAGGTGTTCCCACCCATCTGGTGGGATGCAACCATCCGGTTCCTTTGCTCGGGGAAAAAATTCGGCTCATTCTTGTCAACTGGGGTTTGTGGCACAGGATTCTTTGGGATGCCGACAAGGTGGCTCTGGTTGGAATGGTTGGTGAGCAGGTCCTTCATCTCATCGTAGTTCCCCAACGTGTTCTGCACACGGTTGGCAAGTGCATCTCCTTTGCTGGTCTAAAACATCAAAAGAAATCAGGGTTAAGAAAGGTGACCCATGAACAGAGATGGGACAAAGCAAGAAAGGAGAAGATCTGACTTCTCCCAGCCCATAATATCTAAGCCCGGGGTGTCCAACCTTAAGAATATGCCAATAATGGCTTGGAGGAGTTGGAAGTCATTTGAAATTAAGGAGAAATCAACAATCCCAAGGAACGGAGTCCTTTTCAGAATGCATTTAGGCCAGGGGTGTCCAACCTTGGCAACTTTAAGACCTGTGGACTTCAACTCCCAGCATGGCTGGTTGGAGAGTTCTAGGAGTTGAAGTCCACCAGTCTTAAAGTTGCCAAGGTTGGACACCCCTGGCCTAAATGCATTCTAAAAAGGACTCCGTTCCTTGGGATTGTTGATTTCTCCTTAATTTCAAATGACTTCCAACTCCTCCAAGCCATTATTGACATATTCTTAAGCCTTCATTGATCTGAAATATTTCTAACTCAATGTTATGGACCGGAAATATCTCCAAGGGTATCTTAAAAGAATAAAATCACATACAATTAAAGTCATATCAAAACAATCAACATTCATACCATGTAGAATCCTGGGTTTTATGAATTAAAATCCTGCTCCGGGGATAAAGACAGGGTTAGCAAATAAAACCCGGGAGAGGCCATTCATTAAAACTTATCCAAGCAATGACTGATATGTGCCATCACAGATGATAAGGCAGATCCCAGAAGGAAATCTGCCCAAAGGGTTGAGTCTACTGCAAAAGAGGTTCTTATCCTGTCCATTAGTCAAGGGCAGAGTCTTCAAAGCAGAAGTTGAAAAGGTTGCCTGTTAGTAATCTCATTGTGAATGCCATAGAGATGGGTAGGAGGGACCCTCTCGTTTTTCTCTCCTGTGAGTAACATTAATAATGACAATGCAACATTATGCAGTGGCGGTGAAGGAGTTGGACCAAGATAGGGGAAGGAACAGTAGAACCTGGGGGCCGAATTAAAAGATCGATCAGCCTAGAATCCCTACATAGTCACAAACAAGCTAAGTCCAACCTCTCTTGAATTCTGTGCACCCTTATCTAACTCCTAGCAGATGCTACCCATTAGTTGAGAAGATTCCTGTACATAGGCTTTTAGCAATAAATCAGTTTAATTGGACCTTCACTCACGGAGCTGATCGTTCACGCCTGACAAGGCCAAAGAGAAGCGAGTTCAAGTTTCTACTGCATTATGGAAACTGACTTTGAGCAGACATAGTCATAACCAGGTTAAGATGGGGAAAAACACCCTTAATTCTTTTGCCTCTACACAGGGTTGAAAACGCAGTAATAAATCAAACAGCTTCTTTCCTTCTCTATCACTATGGCTACGGGACGTAGCCTTTGGTTGTGGGTCACCAGGAAGATGGTAATTTGACTGGTTGGGGATGGATTTAATGTTTAAAAATAGAGACGTCACTCATTGAACATGCTATTTTGGCCCCAGCTTCAACCAGCCAATCAGCCTGGCTGGTTCAAAACAATCACGTACTTCCCAGTGGGTAAGAGCTGCCTACCAGCTCACCGAGAACCTTTGAGTTGTCAACTAAGAAGGAAGACACAATTGCTGGGAAGTGGTCCAGAGCACCCAGGCTTTCTATCCTGTACAAACAGTGCGGGGGTCAAAGTAACTGCCAACCAACATATGCTACCACATTGTGATGAATAAGAGTTTCAAGTGTCCTTTTTTTGTATTGTTCTGAGTTTCCCCGGACTACTAAAGATTTGATTTTTGGCCTGCATCCAGTTTGGTTACTTAATAATTTCTTTCAAAATGAGCATTCAGGAGAGCCTTTTAGAAAAAAAAAATAATCAAAGAGAGATATAAATACAGTTGTCAGCTGTATTTGCAAAATTCAGTTGCCTTTATTTTCTGGAACCACACAGCATGTGTTTTTGCAAATCAATGATTCACAGTCACTTTCTGTAAAGCACAGCAATTATTAAGCAAATTCTGACTCATTTTTGGCATTATTGTGTTTTTATCCCCTTGCGTACTTCTTACTCAATTTCCTAGATTTTAGCTGTGGCTTCTCTTCCACCCCCCTCCTTTTCTGAAAGGTCATTTAAAAGATGGGGCATTGGCCTACCGATTATACCTGTAGTATAGGGTGAGTGTTCAGATGAGCAAGCAAACTACATCTGAGCAATTGGTGGAACTATGACGGTAAAAGAAAGGTGATTGTTTACCAGAAGAAACTCCAGTTCTGAGAGTTGGTGGAGGAAAAAAGGAAAACAGTCTCCCAAAACTATTTGACACATGATTCTTCAGATAAATAGATTCCTCCACCATTGAAATACACCTTATTATGCATGTTTATTTGTTTTCATAAACAAGGAAAACAAGATAATGAGACGCAAAGGTGCTTTTTTTCAAGAGGCAACTAGACCTTATTGTTTTTTTTCTTTGAAGATGTTTTACTTCTCATCCAAGAAGCTTCTTCAGCTCTGACAGGATAGCGGGGGAATGGAAGGATTTATACTCCTTGCAGACATCCTTTTGGAGAGTTATTGAAGCACTGTAGCTCTCCTGGTTCCTGTAGTCTGCATTTGTTTTCTCTCTGGAAATCCATTCCTAGTCCCATACCATTCCAAAGGTGTCCATCCCAAATTGTATAGCTAAAAGTCTATAGAGATTCTCCATCATCCAGGTTGTTCCATGTTTATTTGTCCTTGTAAACAAGGAAAACAAGATAATGAGACGCAAAGGTGCTTTTTTCAGGAGGCAACTAGACCTTATTGTTTTTTTTTCTTTGAAGTCATTTCGCTTCTCATCCAAGAATTCCTGGATGATTGAGAATCTCCATATACAGTGGGCTGTAAAGCACTGTGAAGTGGCATATAAGTACTACTGCTACCTTCTCTCAAGATGCAAGAGAATAATGTCTAGCTATGGATCTTGTAAAACAATTCAACCCCTTTTGGGCTTCTGGTAGGGATTCATGGAGAACTAGATCTCCCTGTAGGAGCTTTTTGATGGAGATCAGCAACTGGACAGTAATTCTGTCTCTCCAGATAAAGGAGAGATGATGAGATTGCCCATCTGCACTCTGGATAGCTGCTCCTCATGAGTGGACTACAGGATCTGAGATTTTCTGTAGTCGGTTCATGGGTTGCATGAAAAAAAGCAACGATTTTCTTGGTTTCAGCTCTGATGTTCATCGGGATGATTAAGTCATCCTTTTGTTTGGAGTTGTACATTGTTTGCACCACAATGTTTCTGTTGGAGTACAAAGTTTTGGAAAGGAGAAGATGGGAGCGGATTGGAGGGGGAAATATGATATCTGTATGTCTTTTTTTAAAAAGAAATGTTTCCTTTCTAAATATTTGAAGCAAATGTTTAGAAATTTAACCGATTGTGTAAAGTGAAGAGTCACACAGTATGAAACAAAACCGCGTTTTGTTTGGTGTACATGGGTGGTTGTATTAAGAAAAGTTTAAGGAGGACATTTTGGGGGCCAAAAAAGTACATTGCATTTCAGCCAAGAATCAAGTCTTTGTAGTGCGCCCACTTTGGTCAACCCAAAGCACAATGAACAATGACCCAACCCAGCGTTGATACACTCCCCCTCCTCATTTAACACAAGGAGATTCCATTGTGTCGAGGGAAGTGGGGTGGGGAGTGAAGAGTTGGAGGCCAAACACTTGTTCGCTTGTTCTTCTCCTTTCCAACCGGCCTTGCAGAAATGCCTTAGGCAGCAGTTGTGCAAAGAGGCTGGACAGGTGGTTGCAACTCATTCTTCTCTGAAGAACCTCATTACCTTTGCAGGTTTTTCAACTGACTGGACTTTCTGACAAGAGAAAGAAACAGGAAAAGGGTCCAATTTAACCTGGCAGCATCATCGCTATCACAAGGACAAGTGGAAGGAAGAAGCAGGGCCATGTCTTTGTCTCATGTGGAGCAAACTACATGAAGGTCTGGTTCATAAAACCCAAGAGTTGACAAAACTGAGATTGTTGTTTCAAGCTTGGCAGCCTTCAGATGTGAGGACACCAGCTCTCAACAGAGTTGAAGTCCACACCTCGCAGAGCTGCCAAGGTCATCAAAAACACTGAAGTATAGAGAGGGCAGGATATTATTATCTAACAATGTGAATGTGAATATATACATGAAGCTGGTCTCTAGAAGTCTTCCCATTTTTCTCAGCTCACATACTTATCATGGGTGTCCAACATCACTGAAGACCTCAAGTTGGAGAAAACAATCTCTCAACAGCCACCGTTGCCTCTTCCTTGCAGGACTATCTTCCCCATGGGGCCGAGGCATAAGGAACTCGAGAAGGAAAAAGTTGCGTATGCAACTCAACAAATGTCAAACTTGGCTTCCAGCATTGACTTACCTTGTATGGTTCTCCAAAGAGATTAAAGCCAGAGGCGAAGAGGTCTTCATCTTGCTGGACTTCTTGATTTCTTCGCTCCCATTCCTTCCTCTTAAGTGCATTCCGATCTTGTTCATAGTGACTGCAATTTTATTTTTTTATTTTTTTTAAAAAAAGAGAGATAAATAAGCATTTACTTTAAAAAATACGAAAATTTCCTTTTGCTCTTAAAACTGTAAAAAAAAAAAAAACAGTCCGTGAAAGATTGTGAACATTTGAGAAATTTAAAGATAAGAGCAGTCTGATTCTAGAAGGCCTTTACACACACACACACACACACACACACACCACAAATAAGAAAGGAAAAATAATGGCCCAATATTTTTCCAACTCAGATACCCAGCCTGAAGCCACGGTGGCGCAGTGGTTAGAGTGCAGTACTGCAGGCTACTTCTGCTGACTGCCAGCTGCCTGCAATTTGGCAGTTTGAATCTCACCAGGCTCAAGGTTGACTTGGCCTTCTATCCTTCCAAGCTGGGTAAAATGAGGACCCAGCATACTGGGGGCAATAGGCTGACTCTGTAAACCACTTAGAGAAGGTTGTAAAGCACTGTGAAGTGGTTATATAAGTCTGAGTGCTATTGCTATCCTAGTGTCATTAGAATATTCTCAAATTATTTATTGCAGCCATTTGGACTATCTGGAGGTTGCACTGCAGCTCGGCTCTCTTCTTGTGTCACTCAACACACTGAGCCAAATCCAACTTGGAGGACTAGAATTTCACTGCCTCATGCTGTTTATGCTGGCAACATTTCTCAGGTTATCCAAGGCTGAAATGCTCTGCCAAACCTTTTACTCCTACCCTTCCTTCTAAGGAAAGACACTGAGAATCAGGGATAGGGAGGAATAGCCACATCCCCATCCAAAACACACATTTATAAAGTTCCAAGCTGAAACCCTGCAACTTTCCAATAATTAAAGGTGACCAATGGAGGAAACAAAGCAGATCCGTTTGTATTGTTTCTGAATGGACACACTATCCCAAAGGATGCAGTTCGATGGGGAGGAAATGAAGGTTCCGGACTTAGATGCACAGATATAAGATAGTCAGACCTTGGCTTAACAATGGAGGCATCTTAGTGTCTTGGTAGACGACCGTTTGGTGTGTTACAGCTGCCCCCCCAAAATGACAACACAATTCTAGGTTGCATTCACAGAAGGATAGCATCAGAGGTGGTTATTCAGCAGGTTCTGACCAGGTCTGGAGAACCGGTAGCAGACATTTTGAGTAGTTCGGAGAACCTGCAAATACTACCTCTGACCGGAGATTTTACAGTATCATTCCTCTGCCACACCCACCAAGCCACGCCCACAGAACCAGTAGTAAAAATGTTGAATCCCACCATTGGATAGCATCAAAAACACGAGAAATGATAGTACCGATACCAGGGGTGGTATTCTACCGGTTCGGAGCGGTTCAGGCCAACCGGATGTTAAATTTACATCTGGTTCGACAAACCAGTAGTTGAACCGACCGCTGGCCCTGCCTGCCCTACTCCACCCCTCCATGCAGCCCATTTTGGATGTAGGTAAGTACCACGCCGGGTCCATGCAGAGTCTCTGGGAGACCCTCCAGAGCCCAGGGAGGCCGTTTTCGCCCTCTCAGAGGCCGAAGAGAAGCTGCCGGATCCTGAGGAAGGTAAAAAATGGCCCTCCCGGAAATTCCAGTAGCCCATGCCCACCATGGCCCACACCCACCCAGCAACCAGGCAGCGAACTGGCTGCTGGGATTTTTGAATCCCACCCTTGACCGGTAGCACTCTTTATTGCATCGGTGAGGCCACATTTGAAATACCTTGTCCAGTTTTGGTCACCATGATACAAAACAGATGCTGAAGCCCTAGAATGAGTGCAGAGAAGAGCAACAAAGATGATCAGGGGTCTGGGGGCTAAATGAAGGCTAATATTACCCCAGGGCAGGAAGCAATGGGTGGAAACTCATCCGAGTGACATCCAATCTGGAAATAAGGAGGAATTCCTGACCGTGAGAACAATCTATCAGTTTCCTCCAAAAGTTGTGGTGCGCCATCATCAATCCAGAAAAGATTGGGCAACTATTTATCCAGGATGGTATAAGGATTCTTGCATTGGCATGGGATTGGACTAGATGACCTCTAAGGTCACCTCGTCCTATGATGCTGTGATTCCAGGATCATAAGGTAAACGTTCCCCTCGCACATGCGTGCTAGTCGTTTCCAGCTCTAGGGGGCAGTGCTCATCTCTGTTTCTAAGCTGAAGAGCCAGCACTGTCCGAAGACGTCTGTGGTCATGTGGCCAGCCTGACCAAACACTGAAGGCGCACGGGACACTGTTATCTTCCCACCAAAGTGGTACCTATTTTTCTACTTGCAGTTTTTTACATGCTTTTGAACTGCTAGGTTGGCAAAAGCTGGGACAAGTCACAGGAGCTCACTCTGTTCCGCGGCGCTAGGGATTTGAACCGCTGAACAACCGACCTTCCTTATCGACAAGATCAGCATCTCAGCCACTGAGCTACCACGTCCCTTCCAGGATCATATATTGTATTAATATGGCTGGTTTAAGGTTGGGGTCATGTCCTGGTTAAATAAAACATGGTTGAACATGAGGTTTGAAGGCAATGAAGAAGGTTTATGAAGTCAAGATGATCTCTTTCCTAAGCCATTATATTTACAGGAACTGAAGCTGAACGTATCTGTAACAGCAGGACTGGAGGCTGTGTGTAGATGAGACATTTTAATAAGAGAAATTTATTTATCCAGAATGTTTTAACAGTTTGGCTTTAATTCTTATTTTTAATTTTATTTTTAAAAATCCTTTCTGCTGCTGTTTCCATGTTTAATTAAATTCCACCACCCTAATGCAGCCTGACATGACTCATTACTAAAACATAATTATATAGTAAACAAGCAATACAGCATTTACTATTTCCTAGTAAGTTTTTTAAAAGGATGAATAAAAACGAAGGTCCATAATTGCTCAAATCAATGCAGATAATTATAATCTGCCCTTCTAGGTGACATAGAAATATAGTAAATGTAATGCCAACGGTGGTAGCTGTAAACCAGTATTTTTTGGGGAAAAAAAATGATTGTGTTGACATGGGTCTGAGTGTTTTTTGTCTAGGAGACAGAGACTAATGGCTAACTTGATTTCAAAATTTTATCTTCCCCTTTCTGCCTATCAAACCAGGGTTTACATCAGAGGTGGTATTCAGCCAGTTCGGACCAGTTCTGGCAAACCGGTAGCGGAAATTTTGAGTAGTTTGGAGAACTGGCTGGGCCTGCCTCATCTATCTTCTTGCTCCCATCGAGTCCCAGTTGATCGGCTAGGAGTCCTTTGGTTGCCGTGCACAGGAGAACGGAGCTGGAAAGCAGGTTAGTGGAGTGGGGAAGGAATGGAGATTTTGCAGTATCCTTCCCCTGCCATGCCCACCAATCCACACCATGCCCACCAAGCCATGCCCTCAGAACTGGTAGTAAATTGTTTTGAATCCTGGTTGGATCGCTCTTTAGCAAGCCTCTACTTACTAATTCTTGTCCTGCCCTCTGATGCTTTGGAGAACAAGTCAATTCCTTCTTCTTTGTGGCAGTCCCTCAAGTCCTGGAAGGCAGTTAGCATGTCTTCCCATAACCTTTCTCTTCGTCAGACTAGACACAGCTAGTTCCCTCAATCGTTCATCATACGACTTACCCTTCCTACCCCTGATCATATTTGTTGCTCTTCTCTGCACCCTTTCTATGACTTTAGCATTTTTTTAAAAAAAATGTGCTGACTTGCAAGATTAATAAAGTAGACTTTAGGTTTTCCTGAGAACCATGGTTCCTGGTGTGGCCTACCCAAAGGGTTGACACAAGTGAGAAGAATTTAGGAGCTCAAGAACAACAGTATAAATAACTGTATCAAATGGACCACAGCCTAAGCCAAAGAAAATAAAATTGCAGCCAAGAATAAAATACCTCCAAGGAATGATAAGGCACTTAAACTTTCCTGACTTCCTGATCTCCAACCTTGGGCAACCAGCCAGGCTCTTAAGCACTTTCCGGAAGACTGGCAAAGTTGGGGGCCAATCAAATCTCCAGTGGAAAACCTTTTTTACATTTCTTTCGGTATGCTCACGCACAAACCCATATTCATACGGCCTTAGTTACTTCGTCATTGTTTGTCACCCCCGTGTTTCTCCAGAAGTTCAGGATGGCTTAGGTCCAACAACATTCTTGTGAAGTAGGCTGAGCAAAGAGAGAGAGAGAGAGACCTGGATTCATGGCTGGATTTAATTCACCTTCTAGACACGACCACATGCAGGTAGCAAAGAACCATATATCCTCGCGTCTCTGCTGGGGAGGAATTTAATCTCATTCCAGCCCTTTTTCTGCCCAAAGAAAATAACCGTATCTCAACACCCGTCTTTTCAGCTCAGCAGGCCAACGTAGGGAAGGATTCACACAGCGAGCTATAATGAGGAATAAGCCAGGCAGCCACTGGGCTTTTGCAGTGTTCAAAGTCACTGGTTTCTCACAGAAGCCGCAATTACTAATTTGAAGTGCTGTCTAATTAAAACCACAGCTATGTATTTAGCCTCTTGTTATGCCTCCTGCCGCTTTCTAATTACAGAGAACAGCACAACTTCTTCGCCAATGCAGACAGGTTTGTATGCCAACCTGGGAGCCCCGTCGAGGGCAGAGGGCACCCCAAAGTCATGCCCTTGAGGGTTCCTGAGAAAGGTACTCTTTTCTTTCCAGTGGAGAACAAAAAACGGGAGTGTCTATGGAGATTCTCAGTCATCCAGGTCATGGTTGGCCCAACAATGCTTGTTTTCCAAGATGGTGGGGAATGGAAGGTGGGGAATGGATGGCAGGGATGGATGTTGGCGGATTCCATTTCCTCATCCAGACAGAGCTGAAGAAGCTTCTTGGATGAGAAGCAAAATGTCTTCAAAGGAAAACAAGAAAGTCCAGTGGCCTCTTGAAAAGTCCAGTTGCCTCCTGAACCTAGGAAGGTTCAAAAGAACATTGGAGGAACATCTCGTTGAATAAAGTCGATTATGGTGCCAAAGACAAGTCAATTTAAATTAGATACACCAAACTTGGCACCTTCCAGATCGGAGA